TATTCTGTGAATCTGTGAATCTGTGAGGGCTGGGACTGACAGTGCTCCTTGCCACGCTGCATGGAAAAGAGGGGCTAAAGGCTTTGCTTCCTTACTTTGTGTTTGAGSAAGGTGCAGCTGTGGAGTGACCATCTCCATGTGAGGAATTACTTCTTTCCTGTGAGGGTGMCAGAGCCCTGGCACAGGCTGCCCAGGGAGGTTGTGGAGTCTCCTCCTCTGGAGATCTTCCAAACCCGCCTGGATGCCCCCTGTGCCCCGTGCTCTGGGTGTCCCTGCTGGAGCAGGGGGGTTGGACTAGATGACCTCTAGGGCTCTCTTCCAGCCTCAACCATCCTGTGTTTCTGTGATCCCGTGATCGGGTACCGCTCTGTGCTGCTGCCGGCGGGCGGCATTGTGAGCCGAGGCCGAGGCCGAGCGGCGGCTCCCGCGTGCCCGCTGCCCGGGCAGGGCCGCTCCGCACCTCCCGGGCACCTCCCGGGCTCCGCCGGCCCCACGGCCGGTGCCCCCGCGCGGGCAGAGCCGGTCGCCTTGCTGGGGCCCCGCCAGGGCTGGATGGCTCCGGGGCGCCCTCCTGGGGAGGTGCTGCTGTTCCCTTGGTAGCTGCACCCTGGCTCTTCCGCGGGCTGCGGCTCGGGACGACGCTCTGGCTCTGCGGCTCCGTCCGCACTCGGACCTTGCCCCTTCGGCCTGCCTGGCAGCCCCGAGGCGCGGGTGCTGCCCAGCGTCCCGGCAGTCACCCTCGTCCCTGGGTTTGACTCGTCTCCGGGCTCCTGGCCAGCTGCTTGGCCTAATCCTGCCCCTTCGGCTCTTCCTGCTGCGCTCGCCTTCCCGGGGTGCATTGGTGCCAGCAGCGCTTGCTCGGCTCCCTGGTTCCGTAGCCCGCGCCAAGGATTCRGCGCCCTCCTGGGACAGGGTTGGCCTGCTTACCTCTGATGTGCCTTCTCCRGGAAGTTCTGTTGGAAAACCTGGGATTCCTGAGCTTTGGAGGGATGGTTCTTGGGTTTGTTTCTTTCCCCCACAATGTTGTAGGCTTCAAAATGCTTCCACGGACACGAGGTGGAGCTGCAGGAGCTCTGCCCTGCGGCTGCAGCAAACCACAGGCAACAACTTCTCGAGACAACAACTCTGCTCGAGAGCAGAGCAACAACTCTGCTCGAGAGCAGAGCTCACCCTTCCGGGGTGGAAAATCAGGATTCCTGTCAGGAGTTGCTAAGCAGGATGACGGTAATTATTTGTATTTTGCCAGTGAAGACCCTGAAACATGGAAATTTGGCCTTCTGCAAACAGGGCGTGCGGTGGCTTTCAATGCCAGGTGTGGCCCTTCTGCACTGATCAGCACAGGATTGAGAGGTCAGGTTCAAAGTGAAAAGTTGCTTGCAAGGCAGTGAAAATGCAGCCAGAGTTTAAATCAGTAAAAAAGTGGGTCACATACGGAGCCTCCTCTGCATGATGTTTAATCCTTGGCATATTTTCTAAACAAGCATAATCTGAAGAGGAATTTTCAGCACGTATTGAGATGGCAATTGAGACTTCTGTGTTAGTGTGTTCTAGATTCTCTTCCATCTATTTTTGAATATGGCTATTCCACTGTGAGATTCAGTTGAGCACTTGGTTAAGGTGCTGCTTATTACATGAAAAAAGGAAAAATGCATTTAAAAATACATCTGCTGTCTAGTGCTGATTAATCCCAATCACTGAAGGCTTGATTTGACCACCCCTGCTCATAGCGAAAGGCATTTTGTTGTGAGTAATCCTAGTGATTTACTCACAAATGTACAAAGTGGATTTACCCTCTTTATTGTAATGGCAAGAAGAGCTGGATCTGATTTTTTCCAAGATTTTGACATTTTGCTGTAACTTTGTTTCAGTGTGGCTAAAGACAGGGGAAAAAAAATGGGAGTAAGAAGCATGTGTAAGGAGGAGTGAAAAGGGAGAGGAGAAATTATCTTCCAAAATCAAGGTCTCAAAAGCAAAGCAAAAGAGAAAGGGATTGTTTAGATGTCTGTATGTGCACTGATAGAAAAACAAAGGCTTTGTATAATGCCTTATTTATGAGAGTAAGCAGGATGGGTTAATATGGATTGTCTGGGAGGCGTCACTGCTTGGTGTATGAAATCATTTAAAAAGGATAAGGTGGGCAAGGAGTKGGGCTGTCAGTGTCAGATCAGCTCCTTGGGAATGGAGAACAAAAGAGGGTGAATTCCAGTGGATGGGCATTAAGG